GCCCCCAAGTCAGCCCCTCCCCAGGCCCAAACAAGGGCTATTATCAGCTTGAACTTGATGATGAGAGTCGCTTCATCCCAACGTTTACGACACATCGAGGTCTGTATAGATACAAGCGCCTGAGTTTTGGTATTAACAGTGCTGCTGAGGTATTCCAGCACATCATCAGCCAGGTATTGCAAGATATACCTAATGTTGACAACATGTCTGATATCATTGTTTATGGCCATACCCAAGCTGAATATGACAGTTCTTTGTGCAACATTGCAACGCTTACGAGAAAAGAATTCGACGCTAAGCCGAGCAAAGTGTGAGTTCAATCAACGTAAAATTGAATTCTTTGGACATGTACTTAGTAAAGGTCTGTCTCCAGATCCTAAGAAAGTTGCAGATATCAAGAATGCTGCACCTCCTTCAACGTCCACTGAAGTACATAATTTTCTGGGAATGGCAAACTACTGTTCTCGCTTCATTCCAGATTTTGCTACTATTACGAAGCCTCTACGTGAGCTCCTGAAGAAAAATGCATCATGGTACTGGAGTGATATCGAGCAAAATGCATTTGATGCTGTGAAAGATGCACTAGTAGAGAATGCGACTGCTGCATACTTTGATCCATCAATGGACACTGAGTTAACGGTGGATGCTAGTCCTGTTGGTTTAGGTGCTGTTTTAGCCCAACACAAACCTGGTCAACCAGATTCCAGAGTAGTAATTGCCTACGCCAGCCGTTCTCTCACAGACGTTGAGCAACGATACAGTCAGACAGAGAAGGAAGCTCTTGCTCTTGTATGGGGCTGTGAACACTTCAATGTGTATCTGCTTGGTGCACCCTTCACCACGATAGTCACTGACCACAAATCGTTGGAGACCATCTTCAATAATCCAAAGTCCAAACCGCCAGCTCGCTTTGAGAGATGGGCTCTTCGTCTGCAACCATACAACTTTACGGTGAAATACAAGCCGGGTGCAGGCAATCCCGCTGATTACATCAGTCGACATCCTGCCAACAGTTTCATCATCATCAAGCATCAGCAAGTTGCTGAGGAATATGCACACACTGTAACCTGTGATACAGTCCCCAAGGCTCTCACTCTTAATGAAATCCGTACTGCAACCCTAGAGGACCTAACTCTGCAAGCAACAGTGGATGCATTGACTAAGAAAAAGTTTCCACGCATCCCACCAAGATGAGTGGGAGTTGACCAAGATGCAATCAGAGCACTTGAACACATCCAGACAGAATTAAGTGTTACACAACAACACGGCACCGTGCTGCGAGGTACTCTCATGTTCATTCCAGCAGTTCTCCAGCAGCGTGCTCTGAAGCTTGCACATCAAGGACACCAAGGTCTTGTTAGGACCAAACAGCTACCACAAGAAAAGGTGTGGTTTCCTGGCATTGATCGTCAAGCAAAGGACATGCATGATGCCTGTGTCCCTTGCCAGTTGCAGTGGATACTTCAAGACCAACACCTCTACAACCTTCACCACTACCTGCTGCACCATGGACGGAAGTATCGATGGACTTCTGCGGACCGCTACCAACTGGAGAGTACTTGATGGTAGTCATTGATGATCACTCACGTTATCCAGAAGTAGAAATCATCACTTCCACATCTGCAAAGGCTCTCATTCCTGAAGTTGTCAAGACGGACAATGGACCGCCATTCAATGGACACGACTTCGTCAACTTTGCTGAGCATATTGGATTCAAACACCGTCGTGTGATGCCACTACATCCTCAAGCAAATGGAGAAGTCGAGAGATTCATGCAACCTCTCATGAAAGCGGTACACTGTACTCATGCCGAAGGACGATCCTGGAAACAAGCTATGTATGCTTTTCTCAGGAACTACCGTGCAACACCGCATGGAACACTGGGCAAGTCGCCTGGTGAACTTTTATTTGGACGTCCTATGAGGATCACACTACCTGTCATGCCAGCCAAGGTAACGGATACAGGTCTCGCTCTATGCACTAGCCAAGGGCAAAATGAAAATTACTCATGATCAACGTGCAAAGGAACAATTCATAAAGGTTGGAGACACTGTTCTAGTTAAAAAGAAAAAAAAGAGGGAAAGCTAGTTATGCTGTATGATACAAAACCATATAAAGTGATTAGTGTAAAAGGAACTATGGTAACAGCGAGTAATAGAGATCATTGTATAACACGTAATATGGCTTATTTCAAAGTGATTCCAACTAGTGTAGAAAATGAAGTGCAAAGTCGTACAAACGATAAGGAAAAAAATGAGTTATAACTCTATGAACAATTCATCAAGGGATATTATTGTATTCAAGGACTCTCATCCTAAATGTCATGTTAAACGCCCTACACGATTTGATGATTGTGTTCCTATGTAATGCAAAGTATTTACTTATTATGCTAAATTAAATTTAATATTGTTTGAATAATGCAGATCTCTCATTCAATATTTTGTAACTTTGTAATACAGTTTCTTTCATTTTTGTTTAACATTGCATTTATATTTTTAACATTGAAATCTTGTGTGGTAAAGATTAAGTTGTTTAAATTCTTTGTGTGCATAATTAATGATAAATGTATGCAACATCTTTTGATATTAACACAAAATAAGTTTTTAACATAACTTTGCTTTGTGCTACAAGCATGGAAGACATCCTGTATTCATTCTTTTTAAAGAGAGGGATGTCATGTTCATAGCAAATGGCACCATCTGTTTGTTTGCGCTGTGTTTCATACGCCAGCAGTAGATAAACAACAGAGAACGTACAGGACGCCCGCCAAGCTTGGAAGCTGCTAGTCATGTATCTTTTATAAGTATTCAAGTCAGTAACCAAGCAATGGCTTTATATCAACCCTACAACCAAGACTTCCTCAGCAACACACACCACCACAGTTGCTCACTCACTACTGAGGCTCTTACACCCGGGAATTTGTAGACCACGATTTTTTTTTTAGATGGCATCTGTTTACAAGAACCCTGAGGAGGAGGATGTGATCCCCATGTAGCCGCGGGAGGTTCTGAATGAAATGTGAAAAATACAAATACCTGGAGGCGGGTTGCGCACCCCAGAAGTTAGCTTGCAGGCGCGTTGCGCAATTAAAGGGATAGGGGAATAAATGCACAGTCCTGACAACTGAGAAACGAGTTGATCACACTTAATCTTCAGGGAGAAGTGGATGCAGGGAGTGACTGTGAGATAGCCGTTTCTACTGCATCAAGCATGACTGATGATAATTTGGTGACAGAAAATAGCCAGATGAATTTACAAGTTCAGAAGACTTGTCAGAAGATGAGGAAGATAAAACCTCGAGTAAGCATGGCAGAGGTAGAGAACATTATAGTTATTTTAAAGTTCAGGGAGAGAAGATATGAAGTCAATACTGAGTCTGATGTCATTTTAGGGACTTCAAAAATACTTCAAGCAGAGTACTTGAAGCAACTAAGAAACATGAGTGCGCTTCCAAGAGAGTTCGAATTGAAGCCTCTCAGTGTTCCTCCTCCATGTAACCCTTGACAGCTAATCCTGAACTTCTAAATTCTCAGCCTCATTCCTCCACATCTCACCCCCTCAATTCCTCCACATCTCACCCTATCAATTCCTCCACATCTCACCCCATCAATTCCTCCACATCTCACCCTATCAATTCCTCCACATCTCACCCCATCAATTCCTCAACATCTCACCCCATCAATTCCTCAACATCTCACCCCATCAATTCCTCCACATCTCACCCTATCAATTCCACCACATCTCACCCCATCAATTCCTCCACATCTCACCCCATCAATTCCTCCACATCTCACCCCATCAATTCCTCCACATCTCACCCCATCAATTCCTCCACATCTCACCCCATCAATTCCTCCACATCTCGTCCCCTCAATTCCTCAACATCTCACCCCATCAATTCCTCAACATCTCACCCCATCAATTCCTCAACATCTCACCCCATCAATTCCTCAACATCTCACCCCATCAATTCCTCCACATCTCACCCCATCAATTCCTCCACATCTCACCCCATCAATTCCTCCACATCTCACCCCATCAATTCCTCAACATCTCACCCCATCAATTCCTCAACATCTCACCCCATCAATTCCTCAACATCTCACCCCTCATTCCTCAACATTAAATACTTTATTTAGGTAAAAGTACATATAGAAAATGAGTAACAAGCAACAAAAATGAGTTACAAGCAGTTACATTTCGGCTTCATTCCTCAGCATCTGCCTCCATCCTCAATTACCACCACCATACTTGCCTAAATATTATTCCTAGACGATATGTGGGAAAAATATCAGGACCCTTGGTTTCCATATAGTAAGGTTCTGGTAGTACAATTGGGTTCATTCTTGACTCACAATTGAGAATTCTGGGTTCGAATCCTAGGTGAGGACAGAAATGGTTGGGTGCGCTTCATTTTATATCATGCCCCTGTCCACCTAGCAGTAAACAGGTACCCAGGAGCTAGTCAGGTTCTTGTGGGGTTGCATCCTGGGGAGGATAAGTAATTCTATTCTGGGGAAGGGGGGGGGGGTCCACCTCGATATAAGCCTCGCATATACTAGATGTTTAAAGTAAAAATACAAATATTTTTCAGGTAAAGTACATACACACAAGGTGAGATACAAAACGTTGATGGATTTATAGATAGAGCTAGTATATACAATGCCTAAAACCATTATTACACAAAGTGTTTCGGGCAGGATAACTGGCTACCTGTACCCTGACAATGAATTATTAATTTCATTAAGAAATATTTATTAACAATACAATTTTCTGTGGTGATCTGTTTAAAGTATCTAGTGAAGCAATAATATACTGTTACGTACTTTTGTACATAAGATTATTTTTTTTTTGTGGTTGAGAGAATTCAACCAAACGTTTTATCAACAACTACTCAACTAACTGTGATTGGAACCGAGGTGATCAGACTGAAGGCTGTAGAGTATGATGTAATCATAAAGGCCTGGGAAAACAATCAGCACTACTTTAATAACACTTACCATGTATTGAGAGTCTTCTTCTGTAAGACAGACATAGTCCTCCTGATCAGGTGGGGTGAGTTGCACAGATTCCCCAGTGAATTCTTGATTAAAGTTCCTAGTATCAGTCTCACTTGTAACTTGAGGCTTGAATGGGGGTGTCACCTGCCAAATGTCAAAAAAATTTAGAAATGTAATAAGTTAACCACTGAACTGTGCAACGCACCTTGAGGCTCTCGACGGGTGGTGTGCAATGCGCCTCAGGGATCTTTTCTGTAGGTATAGTATATCATTCAAAACTCTCGTAGCTACACGGGGTTCACATCAGCCTCCTCAGGGCTCTCCTAAACAGACACCATTTAAACAAATTCGTGGGCAATATTCCCGGGAGTGAAGGCCTCAGTACTGAGTGATCAACCAAGGCTGGTGCACGCAGCATGAGCTAACAGCACTGCTGTTCAGCTTTTGACCACAGCATCGCCTAAAATTTTCCAAATATATATGTATTTGGTATTATTTAGCCATGATAGTATTACAGAAGAGCCTGACTGTGATAAAGACTGTGTACAATGTTCAGATATCAGTGAACACAATGCTGTTCAAGATGTTGACATCGCTAGCCACAGCACACTGCCATTATTTCGTCCATCTAAAATTCTTCAAACAATTTTTCATGTTCCTTTACAAAATAAACATGTGGAAAATTATTCGTTTACATGATTTAGTGACCCGGATTCTGATTAAAGCAGGATTATGGTGAGAATTAGCGATGTGAATTAGCGGTGGGAGGAGTACTGTTGGTGAGTGAGGGAGGGAGAGGTGGCGTCGGCTGCTGGCTGGTGTGTGGCAACATGTTATTGTCTGGTATCACCATACCAGCTTAGCAGTTTGCTACGGTGAACACAAATGTAGATACTTGTATATAGAGTGTAATAACAGCAAAAGGTTTATGTTGGCAGGAGCCATTTAGGTGGCAGTGAGTGAGGCTGTCGATTGCTGTGTGACTTGTCATGCTATGGCCGCTATGCTGTTTGGACACCATACAAGCTTAGTTGTACAGTTATGATGAATAAAACATGTAGATAGTTAAATATAATTGTGTGTATATGGTGTAATAACACCACAACAGTATAGTGGGAGGAGTAATGTTGGCGAGTTAGGTGTTGAAGGATTGAGGGAGGGCTGGCTGGGTGTGGCAGCCCACTCTTGTTTTTTGGGCTCACCATTCCAACTTAGTGGTTCGCTATGGTGAACACATATGTAGATAGGTATATGCAATATGTGTATATAGTGTAATAACAGCAAAAACACCATTTGATTGATCGAAGAATATAATATATATGTCACATATATGAGCCCCATAATTTTGAGCATAGCAATGTTCCACACACATTGAAGTACAGTAGAACCTCAAGTGACGATCGCCTCAATTGGCGAGCATTTTAGGTAACGAGCGCCCAAATCGCCGACAATTCATCTCGTAAGACGAGTCATCTTAAAACGGACAAATGCCATAAAGGTTCGTTCAGGGTTTGTCGGGTAGGCTGCTCCATTATTGAGACATGAAAAATACAAAACAAATGGAACGCATTTGAAACAATTTCATAACCAGCAACGTACCCAACAAACACTGAACGAACCTTTATGGCATTTGTCCGTTTTTCAAATTGTTTAAACTTTTTTATTCTTTTTTTTATTTAAGAAACATGGAGCAGCCTACCTGCCAAACACCGAATGAACCTTGTGCTATAAAACAAATGGAAAAATATTAAACAAATTTGAAGAAAGAAAATGTCATAAAGGTTTGTTCAGTGTATGCATGGTAGGCTGCTCCATTATTTAAATCATCGAATCTCATATTGTTGTTTTTCGGTGGTAGAACGGATTAATTTGATTTCCATTATTGTCAATGGGAAAATTCGTTTTGTATGACGTCCATTTCACATGACGATCATGGCGCTGGAATGGATTAAATTCGTTATTCGAGGTTCCACTGTTTCCACAAATTACACTTTTGAATAATATTACAGCATAAAACCAGAGAAGAAACGAATGAGGAACATCAAAATAATTGTGAAACATTATATTCGCGGCAACTGCCACCCCACAAAGTGGCCGGGCCTAGTGACCATAAACACTCCATCGCCTCAACGCCCATAATATGCTCAACTTCCCAGCTCCATCGCGGCTGAAGTATGCCACATACAATTTTTTTTCAGTTTCCCATGATCAGAGACTGCATTTTTAACAATATAAGAAGATAAAATAATTTTTTGGAAAGAATTTATTTTCGATGCAGCATAGGTGTGTCGTATTTTAATGCAGAGAAGTGCATTGGTTAATGACTGAATTTTTCTACCTAAGGAAACTGACTGCAGCCTTTAATAAAATAGTAAAGGAAAATATCAACAACTTCTAACCTTTTTCTCTGTCATCAGGTTCCAGTCGATGTCTGCATAGAAGAGATGGTCCTGGATTTCTCTTACATCACCTGGTCCACCTCCTAAACGAGTGTATGGATTCTTTTGAAGCAAACCTTCAAGCAAATCATGGGCTTCTTGGGAAATAGTCTTTGGGAACCGAACCTGAAAAGTGAAATATGTTTTAAGAAGTCACTTTCACTATAGCTCCATTATACAGCTACCATTAATGATTCTGAATCAAAAAGTTATCTATACCTTTCAGCTTTGGGTATCATTCTCAAAACAATCATATGCTACATTTGTTAAAACCCAGCATTGAATTTAATGAAACATCTCTTTCTGAAGAATCCCAGGTGACTCCCTTAAGTGATATTGCTGAGATCGCTTCATACTAAAGAGTCGCATCAGTTGTAGAAGTTTTGTTTGGCCTACCCGGGACCAGAGCTAGAACCTCTCCCCATCAGAAGCACAGGGAGTGGGTGGCAATTTGACACACCACTGGAAGATGCCTCCAGAAAATCAGTGAAGCACTAAAGACACTTTGAGAGTTCAAAGAAAATGAACTCTCAAAACTGCCTAACAACTCTCCAAACAACATTCAGAACAAGGGATTCACTCAAACTAGTTTCAAACTCATTAGTGCCAAGTACCACTACAAGGTGATCTGGTCCCCAGTTCCTTGAAGTTAACTAACCACAAGAAACAAAAATAGGACTTACTAGGGAAGGTGGAGAGGAGCAGACACTAGGATAAAGAAGAGAAACCATGCCAGGAAACATGGCCCAAAGCCACACATGACTGACTGGAACCTGAGACTAGACTGACTATAAATACTGGGCCGAGTATATTCAATACTCAATTTGAACGCCAAAACCCAATCCCAAATATCAGTCCAAGAAATGTTACAGCAGATGATGGCCAAAGCCACATATTCAAGTAGAAGAAAAGCTCACTCCGTCGTGTGATCACCATATTATAAGATGGATTACATATATAGAAACCCACATAAGAGCCATGATGATGATTTTCTGAAATACTTTCGAGAAGACTAGCAAGGAATAAGAGGGGAACTGCAAAATACTTCCTGGAGGGAGCAGATAGGTGAAAATGGCACAGAATCATCAAGGGAAATTTTTAAAGTTATCACTGAACTCATTAAAAAAACAGTGTTGAATATAATGAAACACCATTTTCTGGGCGAGACCAGAAAGCTTCCTGGAGTTATCCAGGCTGATGTTAATGTCAGACTTTGGCATCAGTCATATGTTTGGAGTTTTTTGGGCCTACCGGGGACCACGAGCCAGAACCTGGCTTCCTCAGAGAGGCACAAGGAGCAATGGCCAATAGAAACCACTTGTGCTTAGAAGCATTCTGTGTCTGCCATCGACCGGGTCAGGCACTCAAAAAGATAGACACCCCCAAAATAAACCCTTATTCTGGTGAAAATTACTACAAAGAGCCGAACTAGTGGACAGAACCCCCAATCAGAAACGAGCATGATGTCACATGTTGCCGTGCCGCTGTCTGCACAGCTCCCCCTCCCCAGGAAGGGGAAGGGGGAACCCCAGGTGCCGGCAATCCACACCCCAGCTCTGAGGCTAGATATCAAAACACCCAGAAAAAGGCGTTTCATTACATTCAACGCTGGTTTTCTGGGGAGAGCCCCTTCGGCTCCCCAGAGCTACCTACCAAAAAATTAAAACCAGAAGGACTTACCCGGGAGGCAGTTGGCACTCGCGCCTCAATGCAAAGACAAGACAACGGGATGCAACTGCCGACCCAAAGCGACACAGGCCCAACTAGGCCCAGGAACGTTCACCTAGTAAAGCACCGCCAGGACTCTGTTCAACCTACAAAAACCCAGCACCTGAATGTCAACCCAAGACATGTTACCAAATACAGCAACAAGTGCAGCAAACTTACGAACTTCATGGGCATTGGGATAGATCGCAGGCTGGTTAGACCGAATAACCCTGAGGAACAGGGAAGAAGGAAAACTGGATCAATCCAAAGCGCATCTTGGGCTACGAAGTCAGTGGCACGCAAATAACGGTGGAGAGCTGCAACTGGAGACAGCACATGATGCACCCCCGGCCTAACGAACCAAGCATCAACAACCCAAGGACCCCTCCGGAAAGCAGCAGTCTCGTTCTTTGCAAGAAAAGAAGGAGATGGCTGCAAACGAACAAACCTACCACCAGGACCAAACGAGCAGAAACCTTTGTGCCGGAGGAGAGCGTAAAGCTCCCCGACCCGACCCCCAGAGGCCAATGCCAACAAGAAAAGAGCCTTAGAGAAACAGTTCTGAACCGAAGAGGCCACTACAAAACGAGAAGAGATGACAGAGCACCCTGTCCAGCGACCAGGAGGCGCATGAACAGGTCGGGGGTGAAACAACGCACGAGACAGCTTGCGAAACGGCATAGAAGTAACATCAATGCCGAAAGCAAGCTGTAGCAGCTCCGCCAGCGCAGCACGAAAGGAGGCAACAGTAATCGGCATAAGACGATGGTTCTGGAACAAACAAAGAACAAGACAACCTTAACAGACAGTGAAGTACACCTACGAAGCGAAAGAAAGAAACGGAAGGGCTGCCAAGAGATCTCATACTGCCGCCGAGACGAAGCCCGCAGGTGGGACACCAACGAAGCCACCTGACCACCATAGAGATGACGATAGACCCGAGTAAAAAATAACATACGCGAAGACTTGAGAAGAGGATCGAACCAGTCACGTGACATACCGGACCGATCTGTTGAAAGAGAAAGCCGTGGGAAAACCCCCGGGTTCAAACACTGAACAAGCTGTGCCTGAAACCAAGACTGGGCCGGCCACCATGGGTCCAAGAGGACTAGTCTCCCCTGGTAAGTCTCCAAGCGAGTCAGGACCTGGAGCAACAGTGGAAATGGTTGGAAAAGAGGTATAGGCGCCCCTACCTCGACCAGTCCTGCTGAAAGGCATCGACCCTGGCAGCTTCGCAGTAGGGGAAGGGCGCCACATATATCAGAAGGCGCCGCACCCATGCTGAGATGAAGTCCATCTCCAGGCGCTCGAATGTCTGGTAGAGCCAACTGAATGGGTTGGCGTCGACCGTCCATTCCATGGACAAAGGAACGAACCGAGACAGCCTGTCCGTTGGACACCCCCTCGAACAGGAACTGCCAGGAGAGCCAAACCCAGAGAACTCAGCAGTCAAGTCATCCAAAGAACCAAAGACTGCATCGAACCCCCCCTCGGTTCAGACAATGAACCACCAGGGAGCAGTCTGAATGGATCAGGATCGTTTCTCCGCAGGCTACCCGAACCCTCTGAACATAAAACCACACCTCGTGAACTCACGCAACATGCTGTGGGCTCGATGGAAGGATGGACCCATCTACCCCTGGCCAGCCTGGTGAGCACTGGTCACAATACCGCGGGCAAAAAGGGCGAAAACATTCTAAGAGCCAGGGCTCGGGCAGATTCCAGGGAGGAAGCCAGTATACCGCCTGCTGATACGCGAGTCGGGAGGCATAAAACGGCGACACCGCATCCCGCAGGATTCGGTGTCGACCCCACATCTAGTAGTATTTCTAGGATGTAGAGATGCCAGTCGGCCGAGTGGACAGCACTTGTGATCCTGTGGTCCCGGGTTCGATCCCAGGCGCCGGCGAAAAACAATGGGCAGAGTTTCTTTCACAATATGCCCCCTGTTACCTAGCAGTAAATTAGGTACCTGGGTGTTAGTCAGCTGTCATGGGCTGCTTTCTGGAGGTGGAGGCCTGGTCGAGGACCGGGCCGCGGGGACACTAAAGCCCTGAAATCATCTCAAGATAACCCCACATCCTCCTCAAGCCAGTCAGCAGACAGCTCCACGAGGGAAAAGAATCGCAAGGCTGAAGCCAGGAGGCCACGAGCACGCAAGTCCTCAGTAACCTGCACAGCCAAAAGGGAGAAAACCTGCACAATGCCAACATTCCGAGGAAGGGCAGGGGGCAAACAAGCACTCATTGAGGGGCTCAAACTCGCACCCCAGGAAAATCTGAACCACCATCAACATCTCATGCCACTCAAGCGTGCAGGAACGACAAAAGATATGCCATGCCTCCAAACCAAAAACAGGACAGTCCGCAAGCCAGGACGACTCCGGGACCTCATAACGGATCCAGTAGGGAAACGAAGACCCTAACCTGAAGGAAGACGGATCCATTATAGAGGCGTAATCTGGGTCGCGCAGGAGGTAAGCCGCAAAGGTCTCCCACACCACATGAGGCTGGATACGTGAAGCCAAAAACCTCTGAAGAGACAGGACCGAAACACCTGAAGGGACAAAGAACCGAACTCGGGAAGGGGCAGACACCAATTCCAATTCCTACGCAGAGGGGGGAAAAGTAAAACCCCACTCCTTGTAACAATAAACACTGCTCAGAGGGTAGAAAAACCTAGGTGAGGTCCAACAGGGGCCCAAGGCCCTCCAAGTCAGCCCCAGGATCCTTCACATCAGGACCCAGGGCCGAGTCATCTCCCAAAGCCCCAGCCTCAAAAGAAAAGGTCGGTGCAGCCGTAAAAGCCTGATGGAAGGCAGTGCACTGGTCAGACCTAGAAGCTTCGGCAGGAAGAACCGACTTAAACGTCTCCGTGCCATTCCGGAAAGGGCATCCCCCGAGACTGCCCGAGTCTCAAGGCCATCTAAACTCTGCCCTGACTACAAACCCTCAGACGTTTCGGGGCCAGAAGCAGGGAGGGGGGGGGCAATCAAACTACAACAGGGGTAAGGACGAGGGGGCACAGATAGAACCAAGGCAAAAGTTACCAACACCCCGAAGTCTAGGTTCCTGTAAGCAAAACGGGGTAGCCTCGGGGCTTCTGGCACAGCAACCAACCTAGCGCCTTGCAACAACTGAAACCTAACATGCAATGCTTGCACTGCCTGTACCTGAATGATGTCGTCAGTAGATTGGGTAAACTGAGTCACCAGCAACAAAACTTGCAGGAGACTGGGTCGAAAGTGTCACAGACCCAACAGGTGGCGTGACGGAGGCAAAAACAGTAAGAGTAACCCTGAGACAAGGGGACAGAGCAACCCTCGACCTCACACAAAGTGAGGGGGAGGGGGGAAGACTCAGGGGTCACATCCATCGGACCCACTCACGCCTGTGGGGTTTCCCAGGGTCCTGAGACGGAACTCACGCTCAGGGAAGCCCAAGCAGGGTACTGCTAACCGGCGCCCAAGTCTATCAAATAACTTCCTAAATAACTGAACCCTCGGGAGGTGTAAACTTAAGAGAACCTAGCAGAGGGTACCACCTAAATAGATAAGAATACTCAGTATACAGGGAGCAATAATCAAGACGGGGAGCAATAATCAAGGCAGATAACCCCCCCCCTTACCAGACAGGCAAACAAAAAGAAAAAGAAAACCCCACATGAATGGGGTATGAATGGTGAAAACAAGCTACGCAGAACCCTGCACCCTTTACCAGTGCAAACTGCCTCCTACCCTAAGGCAAACAAGGGAGTTGGAATACCCTAGCACACAAAGGGCGGCAGAAAACCGAGCAGTAAATGGCCAAGAAAAGGCGGAACCCAAGGAACTTGTGGAAGGTGGCCCCAAGGGCAGTACTTACCAGGCATCTAGGAAAGGAAACCCCAAGCGCATGCAGCCCGAGTACTGAAGAAACACTCCTGGCTCGCACACCCTCTAAAAGACAGCCACTACACACAAGGACCAGAGCTGAAACTAAGTCTGGAACCAGATCACACAACCTCTGTCTAGTGCATCAGCCTCAGAACTGGGGTGTGAATTGCTGGTGCGGGGGGGTCTGGGGCTCCGACTTCCGGCTCCTCGGGAGGGGGAGCTGCGCAGACAGCAGCACGGCGATGTCATACTCATTTGCTCATTTCTGTTTGGGGAGTCATGTCCACTAGTTTGGCTTTTTATAGCAATTTTCACCAGAACAGGGGTTTGTTTTGAGGCACCTACCTTTCTGGGTGCCAGACCCCGGTCGATGGCAAACATAGAATGCTTCCCACCACACGGGAGTTTCTATATGACATTGCTCCTCGTGCCTCTCTGAGGGGGCGAGGCTCTGGCTCGTGGTCCCTGGTAGTCCCAAAGAATTCCATACACATCACTGATGCCAAAGTCTGACATTAGCAATCTCGCCTGGATAGCACCAGGAAGCCAAAGGGGCTCCCACCAGAAAAGAGGCGTTGACACAGCATACGTCAGAGGGGGTCTGCTTAGTTCTACCTGTCAGGCGGGAGTTGCCACAAAG